TCGCTCAAGAATTCCCTGATAACATAACATCAAATTATGAGGATTTTTGAAAACTGCGCATGCGATAAATCTAGAATTTGAATGATTTCCTTAAAATTTTCCCCGACTTTCTTAAGATTTCCCTTGATTTCCTCTAAATTCCTCATGATTTTCACTGATTTCCTTGGATTTCCTCGTATTTTCTCTTGATTTTCCCTAATTTGTACACCAGATTTCCCTTCGAGATTACTCTGAGGGGTTAACTGCAGGTCAGTTTTTGTATGCCAGATTATGGATTTAAGGGAAATCATTGATCCCTGATTTCTTCTGATTACCAGTAGAATTGCCCAAGAATACCCCTGATAACATAACCTCAAATTATGATTTTTGAGAACTGCGCATGTGTTTTTGCTGAGTTCTTAACGGTTGCGGTTTTAGGGGAAATCATGGATGATTTCCAATTATTTTTGCTGATTACCAGTAGGATTACCCAAATGTTCTCCTGATAACATAGTCTCAAATTTGATAAAAATATTTTTGAAAACTGCACATGCGAAAGATCCAGAATTGGAATGATTTCCTTAAGGTTTTCCTTGATTTTTTAAAGATTTTTCTTGATTTCTTCTGATTTGCTTATGATTTTCCCTGTTTGCCTGCTTGATTTACTCGCATTTCTTCTTAATTTCTCCTAATTTGTACACCAGATTTCCCTTCCAGATTACCCCGAGTCAGTTTTTGTATATCAGGTTGTGGTTTTAGGGGAAGTCATGGATGGTTTTCCCTGATTTATTCTGATTACCAGTAAGATTGTTCAAGAATTTCCTTGATAACATAACCTCAAATTATGAGAAATTTTGAAAACTGCGCATGCGATAGATCTAGAATTTGAATGATTTCCATAAGATTTTTCCTGAGTTCTTTAGGATTTCCCTTGATTTCCTCATGATTTCCTCTGGATTCCTTGTGATTTTTCCTGTTTGCCTTAGTTCTCCTCGCATTTCCTTTTGATTTACCCTGTACACCAGATTTCCCTACCTGCAGGTCAGTTTTTGTATACCAGATTGTGATTTTAAAGGAAATCATGGATGGTTTTCCCTGATTTCTTCTGATTACCAGTAAGATTGTCCAAGAATTTTTCTGATAACATAACCTTATATTAGGAGGATTTTCGAAATCTGCGCATGCGATAGATCTATAAATTGAATGATTTTCTCAGGATTTCCCCCTAGTTTTTTCGGATTTCCCTTGATTTCCTTATGATTTCCTCTGAATTCCTTATGATTTTTCCTGATTGCCTTAGATTTTTACACATTTCCTCTTGATTTTCCCTTATTTGTACACCAGATTTCCCTTCCAAATTACTCCGAGGGGTTAACTGGAGGTCGGTTTTTGTATGCCAGATTGTGGTTTTAAGGGAAATCATGGATGGTTTTCTCTGATTTCTCCTGATTACTGGTAATCAGAAGATTACCCAAGAATTCCCCTGATAACATAATCTCAAATTATGAGGATTTTTGAAAACTGCGTATCCAGAATTTGAATGATTTCCTCAAGATTTCCTCTGAGTTCTTAAAGATTTTCCTTGAATTTCTCTTGATTTCTTCTGAATTCCTTATGATTTCCTGGATTGCCTTGGATTACCTCGGATTTCCTCTTGACTTTCCCCAATTTGTACAACAGATTTCCCTTCCAGATTATCTGGAGGGGTAAACCGCAGGTCAGTTTTTGTACACCAGATTGCTGTTCTAGGGAAAATCATGGATGATTTCTCCTGATTTCTTCTGATTACCAGTAAGATTTCCCAAAAGTTTCCCTGATAACATAACCTCAAATTATAATTTTTTTCTGAAAGTTGCGTATGCCCTAAATTTGGAGATTGACTGATTTCCTTAGTACCTATTTCTTATGATTTCCTTAAAACTTTCCTTGAGTTTCTCAAGATTTTCCTTGATTTCTTCATGATTTATTGTGATTTCCTCATGATTTCCCCTGATTGCCTTAGAATTCCTCGGATTTCCCCTAATTTCTACACCAGATTTCCCTTGCGGTTTACTCCTCGGTTAAAAAAAAGTTCGAGGAACAGATAAAATTTCGCATTGTTTCATCAAGGGTTGGTTTCTTAATAGCGAGTCACCTCCGGGTTGGTTTCAACTTAAGGGTAAACGTGTCCAGTTGCAATGTTTACCCTGGAGATAACTCCTACATAAGCTCAACCCGGAGGTGACTTGTTATTGAGAAATCAGCCCTAAGATCAGAAATTAACCCTAATAAAATTTTCATAAGAAAACTCTATTATCTTCAAGAAAATTAACAAAAAAAAATCAGAAAAAAGCGGCTATGAGGATGTCAAGCAGCTGGAAAAACTTTTCCTTATGAATAATTATTATTGTTTCTGGAAAATTCTTATAATAATTTTGAAGGAGATAGCGCAAGGTTGTTTGAGAGACGTAGGTTGCCTGATAAGTTTTATGACGTCATCTGGGCTGCCTCAACATAATGCAAATCCCCATAAAGCACCCCAGATGATGTCATTAAGTTACCCATTACCAGACAACCTGTTAACTTTAGGAACCTTGGAGAAAGAGCAAGAGATTTTTTGTGTATTCTAGATTTTCTTTTTTTTTGCTATCGGGGTTTGAAATTTATTGAAAGAAATACTCAGGTAGGTATATTGGAAAAACAATGGTTCGTAATGCAGAGGTAAAGGACAAGTTTCTGATAACCCAACCTGGTATTCCGAAAATGTTGCCCTTGTTAATCTAAAGCTACGTCCACACCGAAAGCAACATATAGGAACATTGTGTGTATGTTGCTTGTTCCCAAGTCTTTTTTCTGCGTGTTTCCAAAAGTTTCTTCAAGTTCGTTCCTTGTTTGCGGTTGCAGCAACAAAAGTTCCTACTAGTTGCTTGTTCCCATATTTAGCGGTAAATATCAAAGGAAATATAGAAACATTATTATTATCAGTGTGAACACGTTGTTGCTCGTTTCCAAAACTCGAAAATTAGTTGTTGTTTGTCTGTAAATCGTTGTCGCACCACAAGTCTATTCCCACAAGAGTCTCTGATAGTTTCCAAACTGTCAGAAACAATCACTCAGCTAAGTTACCGATTTATGTTGGAATGACGGCATTGAAAACATGTATGGGCGATGCTTTCTGACAGTTTGGAACCTGTCAGAGACTCTTGTGAGAACGGACCTATTATTGTTTCGAAACTAGGAACACAAACTGCACTGGTGACTGGTGTAGACACAGCATTTACTGTTGCAGCAACACGAAACATTCAGAAAAATGAGTAATCTTGATGTAAACAGAATGTTTACGGAATGTTTGCTGCTGTTTCGGCAAGCAGCAACAAAATGTTCCTATGTGTTTCTTTGGTATGGACATAGCTGAAACTACGTGTTGCACCTTGCACTAAAGTGTTTTACCACCTTGATAAGTTTTATCATTACATAAAAGAACTATGTTTAATTTAAAAAACACTGTAGTGATGTTTTCTTCTTGTTTTTTGAATTTTCAAATTCCGCAGAAAAAACTAGCTTGCCTTTTTTCAAATCTAGAGATTCCAGTCCAGTTCTCATTGGAACAGTTTGTAAGGGTGTATTACCAGAGTCTTGATCAATAGTCAAATAGTGTACCAATTTTAAAATACAACCTCTTTTTCACTAAATCGGGGCTCCGTCATTTTGAAACGAGTATTACACCGACTACACACACAGACAAACCGAAATAACTTCTGTTTTGATAGTTTTGTTTTGTACATTTTATCTATACTTATACATAGACCAATTTTGGAAATATGTTCATGGTCGTAAAATAAGATGACATGATAAGACTTAACATTGCGATTGCGTTGGACACACTTTACATGACCCAGAACGTTTATAGCTTACCTATTAAGGCAAAGGTAGAAAATGTTCCTAAATCATGCAGAAAAAGGTTTTTTTCGTACTTAAGCCCAAGATATCTAGACAATAACTGACAATAAGAAAAAACTTGATACAACGAATTTGAGGGTACGTAATGAAGACGTAAAATGGACACGTTTCCAAGAACCCACCCTGATATTACGAAAATTTTGCCTTTTACAGAATATGTCTCTTTACGAGCCTGTCACAGGTATAAAAACATTCAGAAAATAGTGATTACTGAGACTAATATCACCAAATTTCTTAATTTTTAGAAGACCTAAATCAGGTCAAATTTCAAAAAACTGTCCCTTCAATCAGTATTCTTAGGGTCCTAATCAAAACTATTCTAAGCTCGGATATCTCTCCTTCTCTCGCTCAATCAAGTTAGCTCGCTGCTCGACTATACGACATACGTCCGACTAAATCGCGACGTTTCCGACAGCGCTCGCTAGATCGCACGCGCGTCGCCAATCGCAGTCGGCTTTTTGGTCCGTCGCGAGCTCCGGAGAAATTCAGTGTGTGCTCGCAAGTTGCGCTTTCGTGACAGTCGACATACGTACACGGAATAGCTCATGTCACTTCGCGATCTGCCGCTCTTGTTACGTAGTCTTTCGAGCGTACAATTTGAAAAAAAATTGAATTAAATAAAAAAAAAAAAATCGCGGTGTTTGTTTTTGGGACTAGGCGCTAAAGTTCGGACACTTTACCGAAAAACCGTAAATTGTTACAACTGCCAATAAAATATTTTACGGCTCATAAAGTTTTTGTATACAAGGTGCCGCATCATCGGGTGATTTATGTGCACTTTGAGCGAAGTGTTTTCAACCCGACAGTGACATTATAAAAAAAAAAAATTGCTGGAGATCGTCTTTCGGGACGATAAATGTTTTTCCGGAATCTGTTTCTTATCTGGGTATTTTTTAAATTTTTTTCATAACTCTCCTGGCCTTCCCAATTTGGATCAACGTTTCACTAATTCCTTCTGCTACCTGTTCTTCAACCACTGTGACCCTTCATCGACACCATCGTCGCCACCATCGCTGACCCCGTGGCGTGCGCCGCGCCCACCCTGTACGACCATGTGGTACACCCTCCCGGACCTTCACCAGCCTCTGCCGCGGGCTCATCCACCGGGGTGACCTGGTGGTCCATGATGAACGGAGGCCTGTACGAAGAAAGTCCTCCGCCCGCACCACAAAGTGCTGCCACCCCGAGTGGTACCAGCGGGATGACCAGTCCACCAGCTGCCGCACCTCCTGCTGCTACCACTTCGGCAACATCGAGCTCATCACCGGCCAGCGTGACCAGCAACAGCGGTTCGGTAGGCCCTTTGCACATTCCCGCCAAAAGACTGACTACAGGAGGCTACGGAGAATGTTCAGACGGCAGCGTTATCAGACACGGACAAAATCACTGGTCGTACTCGCCATCGGAAAATCATACAGCTTTCGAACCGTCGATAAATCATCAGTACAGCAATCCGACTTATTACAACTTACCATCGGATCCGAACGGTAGCCGAGATCACAAACCGCCGCTACCTTTTTGGTCTCCGGCAGCTACAGCTTCGTCGGCGACTCCCGAGTATAAATACAATAGGGGTAACGATCCGTCAGTGTCGTCTTCTTGCCATCAATCATTCGGGACGAGCGGCTGGTGCAACGTGTATAATTCGCCGTACCCTTCGGCCACCCGTCATCACGTAGACGGACCTTACCTGACTCCGACCGATGACCGGGGAAGGGTTGCCCTCGATTCGGGTTTTCCGCACCACGATCGGGGTTACGGTCTGGGCAATTATGGTGCTCCCGAACCTGTTCCATCCACACCTTACCCACCACCTGGTAAGTAACAAACAAAAAATTATCATTTTATTTAAAAATTACCTATTCTTAATTTCAATATTTAAACTATTCACAGAATCTTATCAGCTATATTCAAAGAAAACAAAAATTAAAAACAATCACCTTATTCATTATCGTGTGTATTAAATTACTATAATAAATCAGTTGGTTTGTATCACGTTAGATGGCGGCACTTTGTCGATTTCTAAGAATACAAATTGGGGTTGTTTCTAGTTAATCGTTAATCCATAAACTATAAGTTTTGTATTTGATTTTAAAAATAATTATTTATTAATCTTCATTAAATAATAATTCCAATCGATAATTGCTTAATCAATAGCGAATTAATTATTCTCGGTAATCTATGGGGTAATAAAAATGCAAATAGCCGATACTTAAACACTTACTCAACATAGATAAAATATTTTCTTTTCGATTATTATTAAATGTTATTGTTTATAGCGGCGCAAGTAAGTAATAAAAATTGTTTCGCTACTTAATAAATCATATGTTTAAAAGTTAATATGTAAACGAGAAAAAATAAAAATGGTTACGATAAACTGTCATAATTGGGATCACTCAGCTGGAGGATTTTTAACACATTTTATAGCTTAGGTCAGTTTTACGACATAGTAAAAGTGCTTTATAACTCTAAACGTACTACTACTACAACTCCGGTACGTTGAGTTAAAAGGCAATGACTCCCTTTTAGAATGACATAAAAATTTATGTATTTGTATCCTCATTCATAATATAACCAGTTTTTGTGTTTATGAGTTTGTTCTAATGGTGATTTGATGTCTCTTTTTTTTTGCCAAATATTTTTTAATTAGCATATTTTTAATTGATTTTTTCGGTTGGACTTGGACCTGTCCTTGAACCAATCCTTTATCTCTATGGCTGTAACTGATTGCTCCTTCTTCTGCTTCGCTTTTTGAGTCCATGAATTTTGGGCAATGTTGCCAATAATAATTTTTTTTCAGAAGACTACTGACCGAATGATCAAATCATATCTTCTGTCCTTTTTCAATATTGTCAAATCAAAATAAATAAGAGACATTTAGTTGGTTCAGATGAGATTAAGGAGATCATATACTTTCCAAAAAAGCCTTGTTACAATATTATTTTTTTTTTTTTCGAAAATAGATAAAAAATATTGACATTTTTCATAACATTTTTAGGAGAAAAAGTCATTATTGTCACGCTACAGAGTTTTTATAATTTACAAAAGAAAATATATATTTTTTTAAGTGTCTGAGAAGCGTCTTCTTGTTCTTCTCTCTACGAGAATCCAGCATCCTTTTTCGTAGCATTGTGCAGAGGAGGTGCTATGTGGCTAAAATTTTCTATAAATTTCCTATAATAATTGCATAACCCAGTAAAACTCTGTATATCCTTCACGGACATTGGCTTTGGAAATTCCTTTATGGCAACGAGTTTACTCTCATCAGACAGAATTCCATCTTCTGAGATCGAATATCCTAGGATGTTGATTTTTCCCTTGAGATATTCAAATTTTTTAGGTTTAAGAGTTAATTTGGCGTCTCGTAGGCTAACGTCAACTTTTTGAGATGTTCATCTTCTGTTTCAGAGAATACGACGATGTCGTCCATATAAATCAACACTTCCTTCCATTTGAATCCCTCAAAAACCTTGTCCGCTAATTGCTGGAAAGTTGCTGGCGCGTTACACAAGCCAAAACTCACATAATTGAACTCCCAGAGTCTATGACCCTGCGCTTGGAAAGCAGTGTTAGGTTTAGAGTTAAAATATTCCGTTTTGAAGAAAAATATTTCCTTTTGTAAATTATAAAAACTCTGTGGTGTGACAATATTCCCATTCACCTGTAAATAAATATTCATTATTCTGCTGAAATGATAGGTATTTCCTTTTTTCGAAAACAATTTTATTTGGGAAATTTTCAATATCAAGGACCCTGCACACCTCATGGGTAAGTATTTGGTTTTCTGTCAAACTCAATGAAATTTTGATGTGTTAGACCTTGACTTTCTAATAAAAAGTTCCCATGGGCCCGAACCAAGCATATGATTAGTTTTTGAGATACAGGTACTTCAATGTCCAAAAAATGTAATTTTTTTTTCTACTACCGTGAAAAGAAGACGTAAAATTTCTCTTCACGCACTAGTGCGTGAAGTAGTTCTCTTCAAACACTAGTGGGTAAAGTAATGTCAATGACAGATGTCGACCTGTCAAATTACTATTTTTCTGGTAAATTACTTCACGCACTAGTGCATAAAGTGAAAATACTTTATGCACTAGTGCGTGAAGAATTTGTCTAAATTTATTTTTTTATACATATTTGATTGGTAGTAGAAAAAAATTTCTATGCAATACGTGCGTAAAGCACCTTTTTTCACTCATGTGCTTGTCGCACTCGCCTTCGGCTCGTGCGTCAAAATTCACATTCGTGAAAAAAGGTTCACTTTACACACCTGTTGCATAAATAACTATTATATGCATTTACCGTTAATACAACCTAATAATATACCAGGATGGACAGGTATCCTCACGCTCAGGTGATAAGTAGATGTAAGTGCATAAAAAATAATCTATTCTTCCGATCTGAACAAACTGATTGTGATCACATGAGGTTTGTTCATGAGGCGTCAAAAGTTGCTGGTGCCAATAAAATCATTGTAACACCGGATGAAAATTGTTTGAAACAAACCTCAAATGACTTCGATCAGTTTGTTCAGAACGAAAGAATACTTCTAATGTGTACAGTGGGAATCATTGGAATTGGCACATACCATATATACTCTTTTAACATCCCTCGTATTAAGTCAAAATTCTAACCAATTAATCTATTCAGTCGAAGGTGTACAAATATTTTTTTCCTTCAACAGTTAATCAAAACCAGATTAAAAGTATTATGTTCACCACTAATTTATCAATCTGACACGATATTGACATTACCTGTGTGAATGAAGTAAAATTTCAACACATTACGGGGGATGTTTATATATAGTCCAAGAGCCCAGAGCCGCCAGACACAACTTATTTTCTAAAGGACAGAATATGTGGGATTGAGTAGCACTTATAGGTACTATGAACGTATGTACACTCACTAAGTTGGGCAAACGGCCAGTTGACTGTTATTTGTAAATAACGGTTTTTCCCATTATGGGAAAAACCGAATCCCATTTCTACTCTAGCCTGGAGTAGACTGTAAGTTTAAGAGGGGAAAATAGATATCTCGATCACTCTCAAATGCATGCATAGTACCCTCGCGCTCACGCTCACGGAAAAACTATTATTGCGTCTGGGGGGATGTTTGGCCGGTGCGATTGGTCTGGCTGAGCACACGTAGTTATGAAATAGTCTCCCCAATAACATGTATAAAAATCAAGCGTTAGAAAAAAAGTTAAAGTACTTCTTAAGCTTTCGCACCTGGTGTCGGTAAATTGGCCGTCTACCCAACTTAGCGGGTATACATACGTTCATAGTACATATAAGTGCTACACAATCCCACATATTCTGTCCTTTAGAAAATAAGTTGTGTCTGGCGGCTCTGGGCTCTTGGACTAATAAGGTTTGTTCCAACCTGCAATAATATTACTGTAATATTATCGTCCGTAACCACGCTAATGCGACTGCGCAATCAAAAACAGTAATATTATACTAAATAACTTAAAAACTTGTTGGAACGTTTTTTAAACTAGTAGTACTCACAACACAAGATGAAAATAACAAAATCAACATAACTTGCATACTTGCAGGTGAATCATCTTCCACCAATTCTTCTGAACCTAATATAAGACAATCAGATTTATTAACTCTCAGAATAAATAAAATAAAATTACTTAACTTCTATAGCAGTCATTTTCAAATAAATAATTTAAATAAACAAAAAACTGAGGTTCTGGGTTATGTATTATTATTTATGTTCGTTGTTGTTCAACCACTGACCCGTTTTCGACCAAACTACGCATGCGTCTAATTTTAGAACCAACAGTTCTTCCTTTCAAGCAAGAATCGTTTGAACCGTAATTTTACTATCCGTAACTCCGGTTGGAACGACGAACTGTCAATTATCGCTAATTCTAAATTAGTGATTTTAACTGGTTGGAACAGCATTTCACAATTGCGCATGTGTGCCAGTAATATTACTGGAAATTACTGCCGGTTGGAACAAACCTATAATGTGTGCCAATTGCAATGATTCTTACTCTACATTTCTTGGACATCAAACTACTTCTCTCTCAAAAACTAGTCATAGGATTGGTTCGGGCCCATGAAAAATTTCTATCAGGAAGTCAAGGTCTATCAAAATTTCATTGAATTTGACAGGAAACCAAATACCCAAAAGAGGTGTGCGGGGTCCTTTCAAAATATTTCATAGTATTCTTGAAACGTCTTTGTCAATAAAATTAATATTACTATTTCAAAATTTCAATGAGATGATTACAATAAATTTATATCCTATGGATAATTTTCAATTTTTGGAAAAATATCGTATTATTAAATACAGGGTGTCAATTTAGAAACTTTCAATTCGATTATCTATGAAAGTAAAGAAAGACGTTATTTGGTACAAATATTATACAGGTAGCGGCAACTTTAAAACCACCATATTTTGGTTAAAATGACCTCTTGAGCCCCATGCACCCCAACCTCAATATTTTGAAAATGTGATACCTAAAATTAAATATTTTTTGCAAAAATTCTTGTGCAGGTGAATACTATATTCAAAAATATTTAATTTTAGGTACCTATCCCCAAAGGGGTGGTGCCATTCAAAATTTTGAGGTTAGGGTGCATGGGGTCCAAGGGGTCACTCACCCCATAACCAAAATATGATGGTTCTAGTTCCCCCTACCTGTATAACATATGTACCAAATTACGTTTTTCTAACTTTTGTACTTTCAGAGATATTCGCATTGAAAGTTGTCAAATTGACATTCTGCAGGTATATGTTTATCTTGTAGGAAAAGCCACATTTCCAGAGTTCGAGAATCTGTACGGTCGTCCGACAGTGCTCGACTTTTCCTCCTAAGCATCCAATATACTATTTTTGCGTTGCGATACTTCCATGTTGACAGGCAACAAAACTCGATATTCTATTTTTGATATTTTCCAATGTTGACTATGGAATCCATGACGTTCAGGAAAGTTACATATTTCTGTATGTATCAAGAATTTTTATAGGAACAATAATTGAATAATTGATATTAACCATGATTTCAAATAATAATGAATGAATGAAAATATCTCACTTTTTTTTAAAATTTCTCATTTTTCTTTTATTAAGTGATCGCAATTAAAATTATACAGGGTGTTACAAATTCGCGAGAAAATAGGTATGAGGATCTCGGTATAAACATGAGAGATTCAGGATCGATTAAGTTGGAGCAAATATACCTACTTCAAAATAAATGACACTTTTATCGTTGCCACTTTTTCTCCTCTACAATATGGCACTATCAAATTTGAAATCCGACGTTTCGTCTTTGGGCCACCATCATCAACTTTATTTTTTTAAATACGACTATGGATTTTTTATTTTCTCTGTTAGTTTTTGACTTCCTTAATGGAATGGTGTATCAAAACAATCAACAAACATAGTATGTTAATTTGTATAGAGATGCTTATCTCTTATCTTTATCAAACACATTGTTTTCCTCTTAAATGTGTCTTTGTCAAACTCATTATTTTATCGTCAGTACAGGGTGTCCCATTTTAGTTGTACAGGGTGATCCAAGTTGGACACTTTCTTATGGAAACACCCTATATTAATAGACCCAGGTATCTGGATCTTAAATTTAATTAAAAAATTAATGGCGGAAATAAAATTCTGCTATCTCTAATCGTTTGGCAGCTAGAGGGAATTTCTCGACTTTTGTCGATTTCTTCAATGCCCCATAACTTTCCTATTATTGAAGATAAGTGATTATGGGAAAATATTTCTTGGGGCACTTTTTCATCTAGAATCCATTGCAATAGACAGTTTTTTTTTTATACGTCGTTTAAAACTAATTTTTTTCATACGGTTCACCCTATATATAGGGTGATTCCGAAATAAGTGCACATTTTGTTATGATAGACAGTAGGACAATAACTTTTTGCATAGATGCATGTGTTACCTAACGTCTCGTTAAGAAAATAGAGTGTTGAAATTTCCGGAAAATGTTGACTTTTTGTCTTTGGATTCAGAATGCCTTGAGCGATTTTGTTCAAATTTTTAGTGAGTGTTTGTGATGTTCTCAAGCATCTTTCTAAAAAATCCATTTGAGTTCCACTTCTCCAGGACCAGACCTATAGAGCGACTCTTTTTTTTTAAGGAAAAAATTGCCCCCCCTCCCGAGGATTTTAACAAATTAAATAGTTATTTATGCAACAAGTGTGTAAAGTGAACCTTTTTTCACAAATGTGAAGTTTGACTTCACATTTGTGAAGTGCCTTCGGCTCGTGCGACAATCACATGAGTGAAAAAAGGTGCTATACATACGTATTGCATACAAATTTTTTTCTACTACCAATAAAATATGTGTAAAAAAATAAATTTGAACAAATACTTTACGCACTAGTGCGTGAAGTATTTTCACTTAACGCAATAGTGCGTGAAGTAATTTACCGGAAAAATACCAAATTGACAGTTGTCGACATCTGTCATTGACATTACTTTACGCACAAGTGTGTGAAGTGAATTACTTTACACACTAGTGCGTGAAGTGAAATTTTACGTCTTCTGAATAGTGCGTAAAGTGAGTACTTTACGCACGGTAGTAGAAAACATTATTTTTTGATTCCTTGTTTAATTTTAAACAACAAAGTTATCCTGAGTTTTTCTTGATCGATGCGACGTTTACGAGATAAAAAATAAAGATCAATGTATTGTTTGGAAAATCTCGTATTCGATACACTCCACTCTGTTTAAAATATAAGATTCGCTCTAAGTCCGGTCTTGGAAAAGTTGAACTTAAACGGATTTTTGAGAATATCACAAAAACTCCTGAAAATTTTAACAAAATTGCTCAAGGCATTTTGAATCTGAAGGCGAAAAGTTAAAATTTTCCGAAAATTTCAACACTCTGTATTTTCTTAACAAGACGTTTGCGGACACACGTATTATCGTCACCAAAAGTAACTGGGACAGCATCATATTAGCTCTTGTACTATTATATGAATTTAATTGTCAAATATTTGTCAAGCTATGAATCAAATGGATTGAAATGAATGACAGTAGAATTAGTCCAGGAGATTATTATGCATTATTTTTGTCCCAGATACTTTTGGTGAAGATGGTACCTATGCAAGGAGTGATTGTCCTACTGTACTCTATCTATTTCATAACAGAGTGCGCACTTATTTTGGACTCACTCTGTATCTAGAGGTTTTCAACAAGAGCGTAAAATTTCTTAAATTCTGATAAATCACTTGTTATGTTTATGTTAAATATTATACAGGGTGTCCCAATATCTCCAGAATTATTTAGAATTCATCAAATTTCGAAACGGCATTTATTGACCATAAAATTGCGCAACTTTACCCTGATTTAACCGACCTTGTACAGGGTGATCTATTATAAATGTCACCCCTGCTAACTTTTTTATTTGACGTTTTTGACAGAAGTGTCAAATACAAAAGTTTCAAGAAATTGTAAAAAGTTCTTGACTAAGTCAGTTTCAGGCATACAGGGTGTGTCAAGAAAGTGTAGCAGTGAAGTTTTTTTTTTTTTTTTTTTAAATAGAACACCCTCTATATTGTCCGCTTATTTGTAAGTACCGTTTAACTTGATTCCAACGATATGTGTTTGATATGTTTATTTCTCGGTTTATCTCCAATAGTAATAGGGAAAAATGCGAAAATCCCTTCCTAGGTCTCTCATGATGTTATTTTTTAAATTATAATATCTAATAATAACTTAGACATCGGGATTTATTATAATATTTCACCTTATATAATAATTAATACAATTTGAACAATGAACGGTTTATAAAAAAAAATTCTCCAAAGCTTATGTGGTATAATTTTTCTTTTTTCAATATGAAACCTTGAAAGGAGATTTCATGTTTTTCCCTATATTTATTGAAGATAGACATTTCAAACCGTATATCGTTGAAATCAGGTTGAAAGGGACTAACAAATAAGCGCACAATATACAGGGTGTTCCATTTAAAAAATCAAACTTCACATTGCTGCACTTTTTTGACACACCCTGTATGCCTAAAGCTGACTTAGATAAAAACTTTCGACAATTTTTTGAAACTTTTGTATTTGACACTTTTGTCAAAAATGTCAAATGAACAAGTTAGAAGGGCATTTATATTAGATCACCCTGTATTTTTTACCGTTTCCGAGACCCCAATAGTTGATCTTGGAAAAAGGATAGCCTTTATAATATTTAACATAGGAATAACAAGTGATATACCTATCAAAAGGTAGGAAATTTTACGTTCTTTTCAAAAATCTCAAAATATATAGGGTAATCCGTATGAAAATAATGCGTTTCGTGTCGTACAGTGTGTCCCGCTTAAGGACTGACCAACCTTCTAAAATTTTTATTTCTCAACCGATTCAATTCATTTTTTTTTTGTCTTGTAGCTACGGCTGCACTGGTTTACAGGGTGTCCACATTTATAGGCTCAAATTTCAATAGGTACTATTAGGGATTTTTTTAGAAGAAATCTGATAACAGATTCTTGTTTAGAATGGTCTAAAACCCTAATGTACGAATTTTTGTTCCAATAGGATACAGGGTGATCATAACAAATTTTTAAAATTTAATGGATCAAACCGTAAAAATTTTATATTTTGAGACAAGCTTACTACAAGTTTTGGTTAAGGATGTTCTAAAACTATGTTGTATCAAGTTTTGTTGTTCTCAAGGCCTCAAAATATGAAATTTTTCCGGTTTGGTTCATTAAATTTTGAAAATTTGTTGTGATCACCCTGTATCCTATTGGAACAGAAATTCGTACATCAGGGTTTTAGACCATTCTAAACAAGAATCTGCTATCAGATTTTTTCTAAAAAAATCCCTAATAGTACTTATTGAAATTTGAGCCTATAAATGTGGACACCCTGTAAACCAGTGCAGCCGTAGAAATAAAATTATGAGCCTAATAAGTGCCAAGTTCGAGTAGCTACAAGACAAAAAAAAATGAATTGAATCGGTTGAAAAATAAAATTTTTAGAAGGGTGGTCAGTCCTTAAGCAGGACACAGTGTATATAACAAAAAAAAACAAACACTCTGTAAAAAAACTGTCTATAGTAATGGATTCTACATAGAAAAGTGCCCCAAGAAACATTTTACCATAAATAATTATGACTGAAGAGATAGCAGAATTTTGTTTCTGTCATTGATTTTCTCTTCAAATTTGAGCTCCACACACTTGGTTCCATTTTTTAATGATTTTTCTCTATTTTTAAACATAAAGGGTGTTTCCATAAAAAAAGTGTGTTTAATTTGTTCCACCCTGTACATAAGGGATATTTCAATTACTATTGGAGTTAGAAGGTTGCGGTTTTCGCGAACGTTAACTGCTTTTCTGTCAAATGGAAAATGCCCTTTTCTTTTTTCAGATACAAGGTGTTAAATTTTGGGCCACGCCTTGTATCTCGGTTCTGTCATGAAGTAATGGAAAAAGTGACATCGGGTTATTATAGATCTTTTTACGTAGATTTTATTGGAGAAGTCAGTTTTTCTCTAGAAGTGACAGTTTTTAAATTATGAATCAGATATATATATTTTTTTTTAATGAGACACCCTATATACCTTTTAATAACTCATTGGATAACTCTGCTTTTGTTGATTTCAATGATATAAAGTTCGATAGGTTTATCTCTGTTTTTGTCATAAAAAAAATGTGCCAGAAATAGGACTTTCCATCTGTAAGGAAAATGAGAAAGGGCTCTTTCTAATGACAAAATTAGATAAAATTTTTTTGCTAAAAAACCGTTAGAGATAAACCTATCTAACTTTATATCATTGAAATCAGCAAAAGCAGAGGTATCCAAGGAGTTTATAAGGTGTCTCATTTGGAAAAACATAAGTTTGATTCATAATTTAAAGACTTATCACTTCTATAGAAAAACTGACTACGCCACTGGAATCTACGTGAAAATATCTACAGGGTGTTCCATGGTGGATGGCGGATTAGACGTTTATGAAGAACTAAAAAGCGGATCATTTTGAAAATTTGGCAACCCGGATAAACGACCATAATTTACACTTCAAAAATATCTATTCTAAATCGGAGGCAACATCGCTATTTAAAATGGAACACCCTATATATTTTTGAAGTTTTGAATTCGGCATAGCTATAATTATGAGCAACTTTTTTTTCATATTTCCCCATACCTATCTGTCGCCGTTTTTCTGGAATAAATTAAGTAATTTCAATTTTTTTTTTTAACGAAAACAGGACTTCTAATATTGAGATTTAATATTTCCGTGCAATAGAACAATATTGAGCTGAAATCTGGGTTATTCCTGAACAATGCCGTAAGCATTTGATCTTTCGCTCACATCGTAGTTTAAGTCGAGGGGTTATTCACTAAGGGAAATACGTGACAAGATTTCGGATTTAGAGCGATTTTGAGGGATTTCGGGTGATTTCTAGTGAATTTAATAGATTTCGGGTGATTTCCCAAGTATTTTAATTTGATTTTGGATTGTTATTTATCTTATAAGTAGGGGAACCCGGGGTAGAACGGGGTACTTAGTGTTTGAAATTTTTTTTTGAGAAAATTTACCGACAGATCCTCAAACTTTTTCTTGGAAACTTTATTTGATATTATTTCTAATAATTATTACAGAAATATTTCATTATTTCCTTTTCTGTATTTTGCTATTTATTTTTATGACAAAATCTGCACAATTCCCCATTGTGCCCCTGCCCCACCTATGGAGTACATTGGGGTACATGTGAGACAGAATATAATAGTCGTTTAAAACTTAGTCAACAATTTTGGTCCTATTGCGAGGGATTTTTGGGTCTGCGGAAAGAATTCTGAAAGATTTCGGAGGGATTTTGGGGATTTCGGAGTGATTTTATGGATTTCGGGGATTTCGGTAGGATTTCGAGGGACTATTCACTCAGGGAAAAATGTGACAAGATTTCGGATTTAGAGCGATTTTGAGGAAATTCGGGTGATTTGAGACCTACAAAATTTTATTTCTGGACCACCTTGTATACTTGAACTAAGGTGTGAGCGGAAGATCAAATGCCTACAGACATTGTTCAGGGATAACCCAAACTTCAGCTCAAAATTTTTTTATTGGAGAAATATCAAGATTTATTCAAAGTCCTGTTTTCCTTAAAAAAAATTGAAATTAATTTATTCCCGAAAAAAGAAGACAGATAGGTATAGGAAAGAAAAATTGCTCATAATTATATATGGGAATTCAAAAATTAAAAAATATACAGGGTGTTTTATTTAGAATTGCGATGTTGCTACTGGTTTTGAGTAGAAGCGGCTCTTGATTCCATTCGGAAAGGTTAACTACATACATAAAACGAATCAAATATACACAGTATTCCATTTAAGATAGCGATGATGCCACTGGTTTAGAGTAGAAGCGCAACACCGCATGGTCGAAACTATTTTCAAAGTGTAGACCATGGTCGTTTATGCCGGTACCCAAATTTTCAAAATGATCCGCTTTTCAGTTGTCCCGTCTAATACGCTATTCACCGTGGGACACCCTGTATAGCAACCCGTTGTCGCCTTTTCAATCACTTATAGGATATCAAGAGGATATCAGAGGAAATCTAAGGCAATCAGGGGAAATCGTAAGGAAATTAGAGAAACTCATGAGGAAATCAAAGGAAATCTCAAAAAACCCAGGGGAAATCTTAAGTAACTTATAGGAAATCTTAAGAAAACTAGATCCAACGCAAGCACATTTTTCAAAATTTTCAAAAATTTGAGGTTATGTTATCAGGGGAACTTTTGGGCCAAGGCTCCTAAAGCTGATAGGTTTTCTGGTAATAAGAAATATATGACGTCATCTGGGGTGTCTGATGGAGATCTGCATTATGTTTTGCCACCCCAGATGACGTCATCAGGCAACCAACCTCTTTCAAACAACCTTGTTTTTGAGCAATCTTAGTGGTAATCAGAAGAAATCAGGGGAAATCGAGGGGAACCATCCATAATTTTCCCTAAAACCAGAATCTGGTGTAAAAAAAAAACCCGGTGTCCGGAGTCAAAATAATATTCCGAACAACTCTTTTCCATACCTCCAACGTGAAGCAAAATTGTAAATATGGTCCTGTTCGCAAAGTCGTAGTAGGCGTTTGTAATTTATGGTCTGACGTCTGACGTCATAAAAAATAATCCTTATATTTTAAATAGATCCATATTATGTTATTTTCTAATCAAAAGACAACTTTGTACTCTTGTTCATTATCTATTCCCACTATAATAACATCAATTTTAGTCCGAAAAATTGCACGTTACTGCACTAGTCCGGTAACGCAACTTGTTAATAAGTCACTTCCCAAAACTACACCTTTTCCATGTGCAATTGCGAATTTAGCAATTTATATTGCGAATTCATTAATTGATTAGTAGTAGGAACAACTACATAAGTACAGTTATTTGATTATCCCCAATGACATGATATATTCGCAATTACATTTGATATGTTCGCAATTTCATTCGACTATTCTCAATTAGATTTGATTTATTCACAATAATTTTTCATTATTCTCAAAATTAAGTGATATATTCACAATTACACATGGAAAAGGTGTAGTAACGTATACATTACTTTCTTATTTCAAATCATTTCATAGAATTATGAATAATTTTCTCGAATCCTCGGCAACAAGGCAACCCGACACTTTCCAGCCCGAGAACCGTAATAAGCGAGAAAGAGGGCCTTCCGTTTAACGACCGCGCGTAACATTTCGATCCTGCGTGACGTCATAACCATTGATGGTCACGTGACGGGCCTCAAATCAGCTGACGATCGGTTGTCACGCACATTCCCGACCCACGACGGTTCTTTCATATTTTGAATACCGAGAAGCGATTCTTGGCCTTTGAAGGAGTATAGAGGCTGGTAATCACAGCTGGAATTGAGTTTTAAAAAAATCATATTCTCGGTTCTTGTATGGGATTTAATTGGGAATAATTCTCAATAGGCGCTGATAGATACAAATTTATTGAGTCAGGGATGGAAAGAAAGTCAGTAATTTTCAGAGTTTTTTGAGACACCCCGCGGAGTGAACCACTGGAAATTCAGAACAGTTTTCAACACCAAATTGTAGCCTGATCTTTTGCGAACATTTTAATTTTTTATTTACTCTGATATTTTCAATATTATTGAAAATACAGTTACGAAGAAAAGGTGGATATTGACCATAATTTTCTCCACGTCGTCGACATATAAATTGGGTATGAAAATGTGTCGTTTTCCAACTTCAAGTCGTGTGTGTAAATGTTAGCTTCAAGTTAAATATTGCTCGCAGTTTTACCTCTTACCGATCAATTTATTGTGAAAAGAATGCTCACAAATATACAGGGGGATCAGAAACTCCCTTTCATGATTTCCATTTGGTGGAATGTTATTTATCTAAACGATCGATAATATTGAAAATATCAGACTGAATAAAAAATTTAAATGTTCGGAAAAGATCAGGCTACAATTTATTGGTGTTGAAAATTGTTCTGAATTTCCAGTGGTTCACTCCACAGGGTGTCTCAAAAAACTCTGAAAATTACTGATTTTCTTTCCATCCCTGTATATGATATAAAGATGAATCATTTAATATTGGTAATACGTCATAGTTATTCCTGAAGAATCAAGCTACAATCTGTGAAAAATTAAAGTTCAAATTGATGTCAAACTTAGTATGTTATCTGTTTGACTATTCTAATTATTTCAATATAGTTATTCTGAATTTTTTTTAAATTTGTTTCAGGTTCCCTTGGTTCGATGGGCGTCAGCGTACCGTGCGGTGGCAGTACGAACCCCCTAGAATGGACCGGCCAAGTGACGGTCCGTAAAAAGCGCAAGCCCTATTCGAAATTCCAAACCCTGGAATTAGAAAAAGAGTTCCTTTTCAACGCGTACGTTTCGAAACAAAAACGATGGGAGTTGGCGCGAAATTTGAATCTGACCGAACGCCAAGTGAAAATCTGGTTCCAGAACAGGCGGATGAAGAACAAGAAAAATTCGCAACGGCAAGCGACCCAGCAGCAGAACAACAATAATTCGGCTACCAATAACCAGAACCACCATCATCATCCTGCGCATTTGCACGCGCAACATCACGTGGTTAATCATCACGTTTCGGCTAATGGTGGTTTGAAACATCATCAGTGACCTATGGGTTTTTCGGGGGTCGTATTGGGTAATCCACATGCACCCTAATAAGGATTAGTTTTAAATAAGACTTTAAGGGTGTGAATTGATTGTTCGATCCTCGAAAAATTTAGGTTCTTGGCAGTGCCAAAGAAATTAGAGCAGCTATTTTAGGTATAATGTTTTTTTCTTTTCAAAGACTTGGCAGGGCTTGTGCAAATCGAATACATTGTGCAAAGCACAAAAATTTCCAATCCGAATTTAGTTTTAATTTTTTTTTCTTCTTGTAATTGTTATAGACAAATTAATTCGTGATAATAATTTATGCGGATTTTTTAATACGAACTTATATTAAGTTTTTTTTTATGATATTTTACATATTTGTTTGTTGATTTTTTTTTCGAAGTTTTTTAGTTTAAAAACACAATAATCAAATATAGCGCCCATGAAAATTATTTTGTTGAAAATGTTTGTTGCAGTGCAATTTTATATTTGTACTTAAATTTTACCTGTTTTTCTTTTTTTAAAAATTTCTCAAAATTTTTCACAACTTAAGCTTCTAAAGTATAATATATATATTTTTATTTTTTTTTTTTGATCAAAGTACTGATTATTATTATGATCGTAACCAGTTGTGGAAAAAAAACTTAATTACAGAATTTAGGCTTAAGAATCTTTTTGTAAATACGTCGACTGTAATTTTTGTCACTAGATGTTTAATTGGTATGTTGAGATGTAATCAGTGTTGCCTATTTAGCCGTAAATGTATAGTAAATTATTAAAGGTTATAATAACGCTTAAATAATATTCGCCATATTTTCTGTGTTATTTAAGTTTTTCTGAATGACCTTTTTAAATATTTTGTACATACATGTTTACTTGTTAAGGTACCTGTATATCTTATAGCTTTATTGTATACGGTTAATGAAAAAATCATGCAAATTCAATTAATAATTTTTTTAATTGTACATAATATTTAATTCAGCTTTAATTGTCATGATTTTTTCAAAACCCAATTTTATTTTTTTTTTTTGGTATAGTTATTGTACCGCTTTGGTGTATTGCCACTAAACTTACTGTAATATATCTGAGAAAAAACTTCTCTAGAAAACCCGAATTTTATTGTAACTATGAACTATTATACTAACCAATCCCTAGAATAATGTTTTAAAAAAAAAATACAAGTGTGTGAGACATGAAGAAAAACAAATTGGGAAAATTGACCCAAGCTTTTTAGATTTGTTCCTAATTTTTGTCAAAGTAAATTTTCAATACAAAAACGCTTGGTTGTTTTCCCAAAAATGTTAGATTTAAAAAAAAAAATAATGTAGATATAATCAATAAGGAAAAAATCAATAATGGTAAGTAAGAGATCATTTTAAATAGGCACACAATTTTTCTTATATTTTATTTATATCTAAATCAGTTAAAAATAAATAATTATTATTGATCTCCAAATTGGCTGATAGAACTTTAATTTATTTTTACCTTAAAGCTTTTGGTATGACTCTAAATAAATTTTATATTATACCAAGTCTTCTGTATGTTTTTTTTTTTATATTATATTTTTCTTTTTAAATTTCCCTTGTTGTGTTCATGAAGCATATTGTTGTGTTTATGTATGTATAATGTATACACAAAAAAAAAAATGATTACGAAGTATGGTTGTTGGACTTTATGTTATTATTTCCCCATCCTTATGTTTCCTTTAAAATGATGCTACAACAGAATGGAAAATTTTAGGAAGAGTGACTCACGATCAACTAGTAGGTAGTATTTGATTTGATAAGTTTTCAAAAATTCAAAAGTGAAAATTTTCCGAAACAGTGCGGAATAGCAATTTAGTCTACTAATTTTTCTAAAAGGTCTCGTGGAAATAAATCTATAGCTTTCTTATGTATCATTTTTTTTTAAAAAGTTAGCCATTTGCAAATTAAATCATTTTTTGAGTTTTTAATAAATTTGCTCTTCTCATATTTTTTCTCAGTGTTTGTCTATTTCAGGCTCTTGAATTTTTCTTACTTCATTTCTAAATTGATAAATAGAGGACATATTATAAAAGGCTCTATATAATAGAGAAAGGCTGTTTTTCTAGGTTTTCATTTATCTCTATTTCTCAAATTCCTCGCTTCAAATTTTTTTTATTCCAAGTTTGTTTGCTGAATTTTTCTCTTACGTTAAAAAATTATTTTTTCACTACCTTTTTCTCATTTTTTCTTAAATTTCCTATTACCATTTTCCACTTTCTTCTTCTTAATTTTTGTCTGATTCAGATTTTTTTCTAAATAAAGAAAATTCAAGATCTTAGAATAGAAATATAATTATTTGTCTTCTCAGGTTTTGTCTGTCCAGGATTTATTAAATTTTAGTTTTTTGTTAAATTTCTCTGAATCAAGAAAATTCAATAGGTTTGGAATGGAAAAAGAGCAAAATAATGATCCATTTTTCCTAATTTTTCTCACCTTTTCTTGCACACACCTTTTCTAAAAAAAGAAAACTTGAGAACCCAGTGAGAAAATTCAATCTTGAAATAGAAAAATTATACGCCTACTTGTCTTCCAATTTCTTCTCGATTTTCATTTGATTCTTCTCTTTTTTTTTTTTAATTCTTTTTTTTTTCTTCACTGTTTTTGTCTATTCCCAGGCTCATGGATTTTCGTTATCTTCTAAATTTCTTTGGGTGGTAAAGGAATAAGTTCAGGAGCTTGAAATAGGTCGACAGTCTAACATTTTTTTTTTCTCAATTTCTTTGTTTTGACATCTCAATTTTTGTCTACATAGTTATTTCAAGATCTTGTATACCAGGTGATCGTTTATATTTTGCACCCGCACCTATCTCACCTGTTTCACCTGTTTAAAGAGACATTCAGAAATGTCACATGCGGAAGTTTTAGGTAATATCCGAAAGTTTTCAATGAAGTAAGTTACAAGTATACAGGGTGTGTCACAAAAGTGTGGTAAAGCAAAGTTTAACCTTTTTTAAATGGAACACCCCGTATATTAATGACCCGTCGGATTAGCCATTCAAACATGATTACAAATATACTGAGTTTTTTAGGTTTATTCCTAAAAAATAGGAAAAAAAGGATGAAATTGCATTTTCATTGAAAAAGGTGGAGTATAGAGACCACCAGCGAAATATAAAGCTATTCAAGTAAAAAATCCATATTATACAGGGTGAATTACTGAATGCGCGGTGGTCCATATATCCTATACTATCAGAGATCGAAGAAAAAAGTAAATGCAAAACTTGTAGTAAACATGAGTACTACGTTCCCAAAGTGTTTTCCAGTAGGTATACAGGATGGCCCAATAAGTAGTGGTGAAACAAGGTTATGTTTTTTCAAATGACTAGCCCTACATATTATGACATTTCTGGATTCTGCGGAAAATTCTAGACATATTTCATGTACAATGTCATATACCTATCTTCAACTGTTTCGGAAATATTGACAGTTTAAAATTGACTTTTTTGCATCGTTGACAGACTGTAAAACCTAAACCGTTAAATTTTAGAGGAAAACCAATTTCACATTCCTATCTTAGATTTTCATAAGCTATCATTTGACACCAACTTTGAGTTTAACTGGAGATTATAAATTTAAGCGGAATTTTTAATCTTGGATTGAATTCAAGGTTGGTGTCAAAAGATAGTTTATGAAAAACTAAGAATGTAAAATCCAATTTCTTGTAAAATTAACCGTTCAGGTTTTACAGTCTGTCAAAGATGCAAAAAAGTCAATTTTCAACTGTCAATATTTCCGGAACAGTTGAAGATATCCAGGTATATGATATTGTACATGAAATATGTCTATAATTTTCCGCAGAATCTAGAAATGTCATAATATACAGGACCAGTCATTTAAAAAAACATAACCTTGTGTCACTACTACTTATTGGGCCACTCTGTATGCTACAAAATAATTTAGGAATGTAGTACTCATGTTTATCTACAAGTTTTGTACCTATTTACTTTTTTCTTCGATCTCTATTAGTATAGGAGATATGGACCACCGCGCTCTTAGTAACTCACCCTGATTCAAAATGGGATATTCAGTGACTATGAGGATTGAGGAATAAACCTAAAAAACCTACTATATTTGGAATCAGGTTATTCCAATAGGTCAATAATATACGGGGTGTTCCATTTAAAAAAGTTTAACTTTGCTCTACCACACTTTTGTGACACACCCTGTATACTTGTAATTACCTCCATTGAAACCTTTCTGACATTACCTAAAACCAAGGTTGTTTGAAAGAGAGAGAGGTAGGTTGCCTGATAGCTTTATGAAGTTATCTGGGGTGCCTCATCATGCAAATCTCCATAAGGCAACCTAATAACTTTAAGATCCTTGAACTTCAACTCCCACATTTGACATTTCTGGGTATCTCTTCAAACAGGTGAAACAGGTGAGATAGGTGTGGGTGCAAAATATAGACAATCACCCGATAGAAGCATGTGGGATTCCAGTATTCCAGTGGAATTCCATGGGATTATGTGGGGTATCGTAGATTTCTGTGGAATTCCAGGGGGATTCCGTGGAATTCTAGAATTCAAGTGGGATTCCAGTGGGATTCCAATGGGATTCCTTAGTTTGCTTAATGAGTCAATGCTTTTAGTTTGTACCTATGTAGCGGCGGTTAAACTGAAAAACAAGAATTTTTGGCCTCAAGTCTTTACTTTCTAGCGTTATAAATAAATCTAAAAATTTAAAAAACATTTCATGGATTTCCTCGAAGCATTCCAGTAGTATTCCGTGGTATTCCAGTAGGATACCGTGGGATTTCAATAGGTTTTTGTGGGATTTCAGTAGGATTCCGCAGGATCCCAATGGAATTTCGTGGGTTTCTGTGAAATTCCGTAGATTCCAGTGGGATTTCGTAGATTCCAGTGGGATTTCGTAGATTCCAGTGGGATTTCGTGGATTCCTGTGAGATTCCCTAGTTTGCTTGATGAGTCGATGTTTTTTACTTTGTGCCACTATATATGTAGTGGCATTCCTCGAGCAATTCCATTGGATTCCATAGGGTTCTAGTAGAATACCGTAGGAGGATTGCAGGATTGCGTGGGATTTTAGTAGGATTCCGTGGAATTCCAGTAGGTTCTCGTGGAATTCTATTAAAAGTGGGATTCTGGTGAAAACATTTTTCAAGGTGGTAAACCCCTCAGAAAATGGAAAAAATCCAATGTTTAGGATTTGTACCTAGGCACTGGAATTTTAGGAAAATGGCATATGATAATATATCCACAGTCAATTATTTTGAAAATGGTGCACAATATAAAAAAACTTCCTGTATAAAAGTTGAAGGTCTTAATAAAGTCTATTGAAATAAGACTTTTGTAATTATACAGGGTGGCCCAAAAAGTTGTGCTATACAAAACTTCATTTTTTTTTTTAAATGGAATGATCCTTTTCTAATTACATTTTCTAATTCCTCTAGAGATTCTAAACAACAATTATGAAACATGTCATATGGCTAAACCCATTAGTTTCCCCCTACATTTTGCATTGTTTCGAGTTAGTTCAAAATGGTCACCAGACCTTAAGCCCTTTGATTATTTTCTTTGGGGACATCTGAAAAATAAAGTGTTTGGTGACAAAACCTGCAGATCTGAACGAATTGAGAAGAAGAATTATTGAAGAATGTGCATCTATTAACCAAGAAATGTTACAAAACGTCATCAATAAATTTTAATATAACCTAGCCCATTGTCAAACTGTGGGAGCAGGACATTTTCAGCATTTAATTAAATAACGCCTTACACTTAAGTAATTTTATTTTTGTTCCTTCAAAGTTATTGTTAATTTTACTGCTTGTATTTAATAATTTAGTTATTATTAAAATTTTGACTAAACTTGAGTGAGGTAGGTACATTTCATTTAACACAAGTTAATTTTTTTTTTTTTTCAGGATTTAACGTGAAATATTTTGAACCAACTCGAAATAATGCAAAATGTAGGTAATATCGTATTTATGTCCTTCAACTCAAATTATTTCTGAAACTAATGGGTTTAGCCATATGACATGTTTCATAATTGTTGTTTAGATTCTCCAGAGGAATTAGAAAATGTAATTGAAAAAGGATCATTCCATTAAAAAAAAATGAAGTTTTGTGTAGCACAACTTTTTGGGCCACCCTGTATAATTACAAAAGTCCTATTTCAATAGATTTTATTAAGACCTTCAACTTTTATACAGGAAGTTTTTTTATATTGTGCACCATTTTCGAAATAATTGACTGTTCCGGGACTTTTTACACACAGTGATAGAATGATAAAATAGGTATACTTTTCAAATATACTAGAATAACAAAAATTGGTCGATTTTTAGGTACCTACTATCATGCCAAAAAAAATTTGGGACAACAAAATTCTTTTTGTATAGTACTTATCTCCTAGCTCCTAGACTATGACGAAAAATACAATATCAACATTATTATAATATAGAGAATCAAACCGATAGGTTCAAAAAAAGACAATAGTCCAAGAGATCAAACTAGGTTTTGCTGTACCATCATCAGTTTTTTTTCCGCCACGATGATATCTATGGGTATACCTATTTGAACCAAAAAAGCTCAGTGTCACTTTTCTTCTTGAAAATCCTATAATTTCAGCTCGTTAAAATTAAAGTTGCCAGGTGCATGAGAGAGAGTCAAATCATGGAAAACCTGTACCCAGTCTCTGCTCTTGTTGTGGTTTTCTGAATAGGTAG